GAGAAATGAGCAGGGGTTAAACGTAAAGGCACAGAGTTCATGTGCAGGGAATGCTGGATAGCGATGGGAAGCTCAAATTCTACTTGTCTCTCCTAAACAATAATACTAATAAAGTTTTGAAAGGGAGAAGAATAAGAGAAAAACATGAAAGTGTATGTTTTGTCGCTGGTAGTACTTCAGAAGGTTATTTGTAGGCAGTGCATCTGATTCTGGAAAATTAATATATACCTTGACTAAAAAAAACTTTATTAGATATCTTGTTTGTGTACCAGTGCAAAGAACAGACTATGTATTCTTTAAGTTTAGTATGAGTTTAGTTTATAAGTTTTAGTATAAGTTTATCATCTTATATGTTCTAAATTCAAGGCTATTAAGATAGTTGTACAAGATGTCACTCAGGTAGTAAAAAACCAGTAATATACTTATTTTAAAACAGTAGTATACTTATTTTAAAACGCTGTCTGTTTTAAGGATTCTTATGTGCTATGCCTTTGCCTTGCATAGTAAATGTACATAAGAAGCTTTCTAAGCAGCTGAATAATTCATTTTGAGATAGTCTTTCAGAGGTACACATTAAAGTTGTGTGGATTGATGTCAGAAACTGAGGTTAAATAACAGGCTTGAGGTTAAGTAACAGGCACTCTGTTAAAACTATTGCACGCCTATGTTAGTTGGCTGAATACTAATTAAATATAGATGGAAACAATATAATGAACTTAAATGAATGGTTTTAAACTGGTATCATGTACCAACGCATTAAGTCATGCAGTACTTTTCTTCTACTCTTTAGAGTAGTCATGGATTTGAAAAGTAACTGTTCAGTTATTTCAACCAGCAAGGGGCATACAGGCAACTATTTCACATTTTTATAGTAATATGCCCATTTTTTAAACTGCTTTACGAGTGTTTTTTAAACAATCTGTTAGATAGGAAGATCAAATTTCAGTTGTGGCTCTCCATTGTAAACTTAACTGACACCAACCTTAAATATTTGCAGCCCATTTCCTTGTAATGCATTACACACTGGGGGAGACAGTATCTTAGAATAAGTGAGCAACATATGTGTTGCTTTATATGTTAGCATCTATGTTCTGAATTGTATGTAGGAGTAAAAAGGAGGCACTGAAGTTCTTACTATAACTGCTATAATGTCTGTTCTCTCCATATTGCTCAGTAGTAATCAGTTGCTTCTGAGGTTTCCATATGATCTTTCAAGCTTGGTCCTAATTATAGCTAACTGCAGTCATGTGTTTCGGGAGTCAGAGTCAGTGTGGTGGATTTTATATAAATGACTGCATTTCAATAAATTAACACTTGATTTTTGCCCAGTGCAGGCAACATAGGTCCAGTAGCAATAGAAAACTTGAGACTAGCTCACTATTGGAAGCTATACAGTGTTCTTGTATACAGGCAGTGACAAAATACTCATGCAATAGAGACCATCTTTGTCAAGTTCTTCTTGTACTTCTTCAGCTTTCAATAATTGTTTTTGGTAGATCTGGACATTTATTTATTTGCTTTCATTCAACATTTTTTCAAATTTGAGGGAAGACAAATGTGATACCAGCTAGTTTTATTGGACAAGTAGGAAGTATTCTGTGTTCTGAAAAAACTGCTGATCAACTTGAGATGTTTTTTCCAGAATTTTCCCATTCATTGGGAAGTGTAATGAAAAATTTGTAACAGAAGAATGCAGTCTATATGTCAAACTTCATAACTTCTAAGGTGGAAGGCTTTGATCTATACCTTTGATTCAGGAGCACAATCAACTTTCTTCATCATATTATTCGCTTGGATCAAAGTCAATGCAATTGTTTGCTTATTATTACTGGTAGAAGGCTATTGACAATCAAGAATCGAATTATGTTAATCCTTCACTCTGAAATTGTCATTAAGAGAAGCAAGAAGACTCCAAAGTTGATTATCATTAGCAATATTTACAGTTTCAAAAAGGAAAGATTTAGTGGAAGAATTATGACTGGCCAAGCTACGAGAGTAAAGAATCTCTTTTCCCCATTAAATGTGAGCCTACCAACCAAAGAGTAGCTAAGCTCAGCTTCTTCCGTTAGGTACTTACAGCCCAAATAATAAGGGAATTTTTTTCTGTTTTTCATCTAAATCTTCTATTCCAGAGGCACATAGACTGAAACCAGAATGCCCTATTGCATTTCAAGAGATTGAGAAAGCACATCTGCCAAATCTCCTTGACAACCAGTATGTCCTTTTCAAGATAAGGATATTCTGTGAAATGGAAAACGGATTAATCCTGAATCCACTTGATCTTATCTTCAGAACATTCAGCCAGCTTCCCACATTGCCAAATGTCTGATTCTTGTTTTAATACTGACTAATTAAATCATGGATTTCAGAAGGAGTTAATTAGAGAAAAGAGAATAATTCTATTATCAAGGTTGCATTGCAAAAAGAGCCTTATAAGATTTAAATACGCCAGAACTTGAGCAGAATTCAGTTTATGATACAAAATGAACCAAAATTCCTCTGGCCTTCTATTTAGTCAGTGATACTAAGAGGTTAATGCAGTAAAACAGACAGATGGACACACACGTACGCGCACACACACACAGAGAAACAAATACAGTTTGGGTTTTATTTTCAAAAATCACTAGGCTCCTAAAGAAACAGAGGATTTTTCAGGACGTTTGAGATAATGGGAGTTAGCCTTCTAATCTTCTTATGACTTAAAAATTCCACTATATTTCTGCTCAGGCACATAGTACTCCTGAAAATATGGCTTGTCTGAAAAATGTGTATCCTGAGCATGGACAGGACACATCAATAAATGTGAATTCTGTCACTGTAGTCTTGCAGTTTTGTCATTTGACATTCTAGTAATAATATGCTTTTTTTTTTTTTTTGTGAAAGCTGAGAGATTTCTTCTTTCTTAACTTAAAAAATAATATCCTTGTTATCTGATGCTAGAGAAGCAAACACAGTTCATATTTCACTATGATCAGTCCATTATGATATTTTCCTTAGTTGCAATTCAAGAAGAAAAACCAGCTTGATAAGAGAGAATAGTCATGAGTACCTGGGAGTTCTCACAAGCCACAGCACTGGATGATAATTTGTTCTGTAAGTGTACAGCTTTATTTTCCACCCAAAGCCAATCTCTCTTTTGCAAATTGCTTTCACATTTGGGGTTAATATGCATCATTACTGTAAGGTACAACCCTCAATCAAAGAAATTATTGGAACTTTACATTTGCTTCTTTACAAAACTGAAATTTCAGGACAATAATATAGAAGATATATGTATGTTACTGACAGTTGTACCTTTTTTTGGACAGGACTTAACGGAGACAGTTTTTCCTTTCCATCAGTTTTAATGCTCTCCTGTTTTCTTTTGTTATAGCTAAGTATGAAATATTTTAATTGAACATATAACATTTTTTTTTATGTTCTTATAGGCTTATTAGCCAGTACTTAAAATTTACCGTTTCAAGTAGCTTTGCTTACTGAAATATGTGAGTTACATCTAAAAATAAGCCCAGTGAGTTGTGTAGGTGCTTCGGGGAAAAAACAGTGTATGCAATTTAGATGATGTGTCATGTTTACATCAAATATAATGGCTATATTGATACAGTGTCTTTATTTTAATAATAGTTGTATCATCCTTGCCTCTTTGTTATCCTGACTAAAACATGTACCAAGTGAATTAAGGAAAATGTGTTAGGTTTTGTTTCCTGATGTTCTCCTTAATAATAAGAGCTCATATATTCACTTAGTGTAAAATAATTGCTCTTTTTCTTATGTTTTCCTTCTGAGCTTAAATTTTAAATAAACTGCCCTTGGCTTAAGATGAAAAAAATCCCAGCTATTTTTTGCCTGTTTGCATAGAAACTGAAAATAGCAATAAAGGCCCTGAACCAAGCCTAACAGAGATCAGTGGAAATCTTCCCGCTGACATTTGTGAGAGCTGGACCAGGCCCTAAGGCAAGAGGATATGAAACTAAACTCTTTCTAGGGTTAAGAAGCAGCATCACTACAATCATCATCAGGATGAAAGCAGTAATGCAACAGTTCTGTTATTTTACTGTTTGTCACTGAATTAATCCTGCTCATTTTGAGTTTGTTTCCATTTCTGACTCTTTCATATTTAAAGCTTGTATTACTTGCATTATGTTAGTTTCAACAGCATAATGGGTAAGAAGATAGGAAGATAATACCACCATGGACAAGAGTTCCGGTTTCCATATTGGTATCTCTAATCTCTGTATATTGTTAAGAATAACTTTCTTCTCTCTTTAGGCAGGCATTTTCAGCATGAATGCATGTGAGGAGGGATTTGCCACTGGTGGCAGGGATGGCTGTGTTCGCTTGTGGGACTTAAATTTTAAACCAATTACTGTGATTGATCTCAGGGAAACAGACCAGGGATATAAAGGTAAAAAGAAGTTTGTCACCTCTGATATACCAATAAAGTAGGAAATTCACCAGTGTTTGGAACAAGAACAAAAAGGCTATTTTATATACATTACTATGAACTATTTGCTAGAAAATAAATTTGGTCGTGCTCACTAGTATGAAGGTCACGTAGTCCTTCAGAGTTACTGTAAAGCCTCTTTTCTATAGCACAGCAGTTTTTAACAAGGAATGGTAGTGCTTTAAGAGAACTTAGAAGAGACAGTGAGATCTACAGTGTAAAAGAGCAGAGTACAGAAATTGTATTTGCTAGTTATCCAAATTTTCATAAAAGCTACATGGAAGTAATCTACAGTTTTGTATTTAGATATCTGCCTACATATACCTGTGACTTTGAGCATGTCATGATAAAATTTTGCATCTAGCAGCATATAACATGTTTTGTCAATGTTCTAGATGTTGTTGCTGTAGTGATTCAGAAAATAATACAAATGTATACTGAAGCACTAGTGTCATTTACAATGTCACTTTTGTTGGCATTTGATTTTCTTTGCCCCCAGTCACTTTGTTATTTTCTAATATCTTGCCAAGAATTTGGCAATGTCGTAGAATGTCTGCTGGCAATCAGATATTCAGGGTCACTAAATTATGGATTGCGATTTAAATCTATGTATTCTGTAACTGAGTTGGCATTCTCACTAAGATTACAAAATATTGCAGCAAGATGGAATACATTCCATTTTAAATGACCTGTGGTACAGTGGCTCATTTAAATTTACTCAGCTGCTCTTTCTTATCGCTGTGGCACGCAGTTGAAAGCTGTGTTTCATCCCTTGTTTCATTCTTTTAAACTTGTTCTTCAGTCCGGATTCTCTCCTTTATGTTCTCAGAAGGTAATAAATACAGTTTGTTTTAAAAGGTGCAGATTCCTAAAATTGGGCATCTAAGACTGGTTTCTCAGTGTACAACTGTTCTAGCTTCCATTTTATTATTCCTAACCTTTTCTACAAAGAAGTGCAGCTTGCAAATGTTTGGCATTTTCTTCCTTTTATGTTTTGTCATGTGGTACATTACCTTTGTTTCACAAGTTCTCAGAATCCGTATCTCTTGGTAACAATCTCTTCTACAGGTCTGTCTGTAAGAAGTGTTTGCTGGAGAGGAGACCATATACTCGTCGGAACACAAGACAGTGAAATTTTTGAGATTGTGGTGCATGAACGTAATAAGCCTTTCCTGATAATGCAGGGGCATTGTGAAGGAGAGCTGTGGGCTTTGGCTGTCCATCCTACAAAACCTCTAGCAATGACTGGAAGTGATGATCGATCAGTCAGGTTAAATCTTGTTTGTTTCATTGTGTACAGTTTAATACAAACAGCTTATGTTGTAGATAACCTAATTGAAATGTATACATTTTAAAGGTATTAAAATGTGACATTAAAGTGCTTCTGAACCAGTTAAGTTATACATGAAATTAGTGCTCTCCAGTAGTAAAGTATAGTGGAGATACATATTTCACAGAAATGAAATGTACAAAATCTGAACAAATTTTGTTTAGCTTAGCATTAAGCGCTCATACACAAGTGTCCTGTGTTTCCTTTTCAGGAGTATGCTAGGCATTCACAGTTTACAATGAAAAAAAATTTAATGAAAACGTAAGATTTTTACTCTTACCATATTTACTTTTTTACATGCTGCGAATTAGTTTTTAACTTGGGAGTTTCATCAAACTTAATGCATGCATGGTCAATAGAATCTGTATTCTGAGAAAACCCAGGACTTTACTTACTTTTACAAGTTCATCTTTTTTTGTCAAGACACTTTTTCTTTTCTTCCTTAGAAATTAAATGCATTGGCAATTTGTTAAATATCTTAAGTGTAAGCAAAGATGAATTCTGAATATTGAAGTAATGCTCTAGAATTCCAGACGTATCTTGTAAATTAGAGATATAATTTATCTTGTAGTAGAAGCATACATATTATGTAGTAATATGTAAGCAGTTATGATTAATGACTTGTTAATAGGAAAGGACATGTTTAAGAGAATATTCTCTGCTGTACGTGAAATTCACACCTTTGTCTTAGATTTTACTTGTGGGAAATTATTTTAGAATAGAACTCTACCGCGACCGGTGTTCTGCAGAAATTGCGGACTTCATGCTATCTATGACACAAGCTACAAACCACACCTTACTTTTGTAATTACTACCTGGTTTCAGAATTTGGAGTCTGATAGACCATGCTCTGATTGCCCGGTGCAATATGGAGGAGCCCATCCGCTGTGCTGCGGTCAGCACGGACGGAATCCACCTCGCCCTCGGGATGAAGGATGGCTCTTTCACAGTGCTTCGAGTCAGGTGTGTTACAGAGTTTAAAAATAGAGAACAGTATTAACCCTTTCAAGCGTGCTGTGTAACTGTTCTTACAAATTGCATGTATATTGACAGTGTAGCGATCACACATGAGGAAGTCACTTATATTTCTGTTCTGAATTACTGATCTTGAGGGCGCTCACATTTTTTAAATGTTTGCGTTACGTCTGTCCATGTTGCTCCATAGTAACACATTTGTAAAAGTATGTTGGTCTATTTGCAAAAACTGGCAGTGTTCTAGAAAGTGTTTTACTGTAGGTTTTATCTTTATTAATTATTCTTCAATTATTAAAAAAGAAAATGTCATTTCCTAAATTGTTTCTGTGTGTTGGAATGCTGCTGTCAGCAGATCACACATAAAAAAAGCAGTGCTCCCTTGTTGCTGTGATCACACAGTTTTAAAGGGAAAATGAGATCTGTGTCAAATGTTAGTGAGATTTTCTTCCCTGATCAAATAAAGATCTGATCATTTTTTGGTTTTTTTTTGTGGACCCAGCTTGAACAGTTCCTTTTGTTCACTTGCCCTCAGCCCAATGCAGCAACTTCTTCTATCTCTGTTCCCTTCTCCTTTTCTGGCCATGAAGTCCTGCCCAGCTCTGAAAATAGCTGTGTTGTGTTTGCACATGTGATAGTGAAGTTCACTTCATTGATTCACAATTTTGTCCAGTTTTTTAACACTGGGATCTTGACAGTATGCTAAGGCTCTTCTATACTTATGACGTACTTTCTTTCATACTACAGAGATATGACTGAGGTTGTTCATATCAAAGACAGGAAAGAAGCTATTCATGAACTGAAATATTCACCAGATGGGAATTTCCTGGCTGTTGGTTCCAATGATAGCTCTGTGGATATATATGGTGTTGTTCAGCGATACAAGAAAGTTGGGGAATGTATTGGATCTTTAAGTTTCATCACCCATATGGATTGGTCTTCGGACAGTAAATACTTACAGACCAATGATGGTAATGGGAGAAGACTTTTTTACAGAATGCCAAGTAAGATTCTGAGTTGCCTTTATGATATTTGTTACTTATTACAGAAAGAATGTGTCATAGTTTTATAAAAACAGCCAAATATAGATCCTGATTCAAAGCACTGTTATGGACAATTTTTTTCTAAGTTTGTGTAAATATTTCCTATATTTTAATAAGTACAGTTACTTAAATATTTTTATCCTTGTATGTTTACTCTTCTTTATAATGCATCTTTTCATGGTGGTGATGCTGGCTTTAGTTTATTTTATTTTTCAAAATGAAATCTCTGCTTCCACCTTTTTTAGAAAAAAACCCATTTGAATTCAAGTTCAATTTTTGAATAGCTTAATAGCCTTGTACTTATTGACTTGGACATTAAATGGATTATCAGTTGCTTGTGCTGTATGTTTTTAAAAAATGTGTGAACAAATCAGGATGTTACGTCTTGGAAGAGTCATCTGGTTTTCTAGAACTATGCAGCAGAACTGCAGAATTTAACTTAAAAGGGCTTTTACAATGAAAAATTTGTATCAGATAGAAGAAATTGGAAAGCAAATTAATTTGGAAATATAGTGGGATTAGGTAACTGTAGAGAAAATAAGAGTACCTAATATAAGGATGCCACGATGTCAAGAATTACTCACAGGAAACAGTCAAAATATTGAAGCTGTGATACATACATAATTTAATCATGTGACCATGATCAAAATGAAAGTTAACTGGGCAGTCTACTGATAACGCAAGGTCAAATGTGTGTTTCCTCTTTTATGGGAAGTGACTATTACAGAAAATTATTGTATTACATAATACAAAAATACAGCTTTTGAATTCAAAGTTTGTAACAACCCCATTATTGCAAATGTTTTCAAGACAACATTTGTTTATGTGAAAAAATAAGCAAAGTCAATGACGTTAGGAATCTCTTAAATGTTGCAAAATGATGAACCGAATCATTGTTGAAATTCCAGCATAAATTAGTATGGAACTTATACGTGCCTAATACAAGATCAGTAGGACTTAGTCATGGATATAACCATAACTATCCATCATGGACAGAACTAATAGCAGTATTTATTTACATGGATTAGTAATGGAAAGAGATTACAAGGTAAACCTTGTCAAAGGGTGCAGTTATTCAGTTACTTTACTTCATCAGAGCTGAAGCATCTTCAAACAGGGCACTTGAGTTCCTTTCAAGTGTTTGGAGGCGTATATAGTAGTTTAACTAAAAAAGCTTCCTTGAAAGTAGAGTTTTGGTGTGTGTTTGTTTTGTTTTGTTTTGTTTGTTTGTTTGTTTTGGTTTTTTGTTGTTGTTTTGTTATTGGGCATTGTTGTTGTTTTTTAAAAAAGTCGATCTTCCTTTCTGATTTATTTGTCATTTTGCTTTATCTTTTCTGTATGGCTATTCTTTACTTTATTTATTCCAGTCCACTTGAGTTCTCCCCTGCTGTGTGATTCTGTTAAAAACTCACCTGTTTGTGGTTGTCAGAATCACAGAATGGTAGGGGTTGGAAGGGACCTCTGGAGATTGCCTAGTCCAGCCCCCCTGCTAAAGCAGGTTCACCTAGGGCAGCTTTCACCGGAGCATGTCCAGGAAGGTTTTGAATATCTCCTGAGGAGACTCCACAGCTTCTCTGGGCAGCCTGTTCCAGTGCTCCATCATCCTCACAGTAAAGAAGTTTTCCTTCATATTCAGATGGAACCTCCTGTGTTCCAGTTTGAGTTTGTTGCCCCTTGTCCTGTTGCTGGGCACCACTGAATCCTATTAACAATAAGAAAACTGGAAAAAAACAACCCAGTTCCCTTGAGTTTTTTTAACACTGAAGACTGAGAGGTGAGTTACTGTCAGTGTCCTGCTCAGGCTCTGCAGCTGCATACTCAGTCTGACTCAGCTTTCACCTTTGCTTGCGTTGTTCTTCCCTTGTTCCTGCTGTCTGCTTCTGGCCATTTCTGAAGACATGGCTTTTATTAAATGAGTCTGACGCAGTACTTAAGCTCTTACATGAAACTTTTTGGGATTGCAGCAATCTTATTACAAATAGAGCTGATGTGAAGTCATGTAACAAAGATCTAATCATAAAACTGGTATTTCCAGCAATTTACAGTGGTCAGATCTAAATGACTTCTTCAGGTTTTGCTCTAAATAATCCAGGTTTCTAGAACAGTCCAGCAACAGAATTTTTCCAAGCTCTATCTTAGGCTGGCTACCTTTATTTTTTGATATACATTTTAAAATAATACAACCTCAAGCAAACATCAAGAAATAGTAAAAACTGTAAAGTACCAAACCATTTTTAATTACTATCTTCTGAGTTTTGAGAACCCTTACTATTGATACTGCTGGTCATAGTAGAGAATATGAGATCAGAAGAGTTATAGAAATAAGTTTTTAACTGTCTCACTTGGATTTGATTTCTGGAGGATTTATATTTTTAAAAAATGATTTCTTTAAAATTGTATAAGTGGTTATTGAAAAATAGCTCTTTATTTTTGCTCTTAGGTGGAAAGGAAGTAACAAACAAGGAAGAATTAAAAGGCATTCAGTGGGCATCATGGACCTGTGTTTCTGGCCTTGAAGTTAATGGAATCTGGCCCAAATATTCAGATGTAAATGATATAAATTCTGTGGATGCAAATTTTATTGGCCAAGTTATGGTTACAGCTGATGATTATGGAATAGTAAAGCTCTTTCGATACCCATGTCTAAGAAAAGGTAGTATCTTTAAGTTCAGTTATAAATTTCTATTTTTGAATTTTGGTTATTCAAGAAAAAGTTGTTAGGAAACTGGGCTTTTGGAAATTATCTGAATGGACAATATTCTTAGAGGTTTACTTCGAACTTCAGAGGTGGAAAAAAAAATAGGCTGGTGTATTGATGACTGTAACAGTATTTTAATTACGTTTTAAATGGGAAAGTCACAAGTTTTATGCATATTTAGTTTTGTAAAAGAGTTCTTTTTTTATCTACCCTTTTATAAGATGTATCTTTAACTATTTCATCTTGGTCTTCCAGCAGTTTTCTTCCTTCCTCTAAATCTATGATGGAGATTTGGGCTAGGAACTAAAAAAAAGTAACCTTAGTAAATGGTTAGAGGCAAATTGGTCTGTAATAGCAATGTGCAGTTGTATGTTATTTGAAGTTTAAAAACTTTTCCACAAGTTTTTTCCTCAAAATTTTACTACCAATAAGGGTAAAACTCATGTGAAATTCTTAAAACTAGAATATAAAGGAGGTATGTAGTTTTCAGGTTTACTGTTCAGGACTGAGCAAATGGGAAAGGTGTGTATCTTTTTAGATGAGAAAGGCTTTATTTTTCAGAGCTGTTTGAAGAACTCCATTCTAGACATCATTGAAGTTGAACTGTAACAAATTATCAATAGTAGAGATCTTTGTCTTCAAGAGATGGTAATGTCTTCAGGGTGATGTTAGCCTAAAAAGCTTGCCTGAGGACTAGATCAAATCCCTAAATCTTGAAAGGGGAAACAAACTTGCACCATTGCATCATTGAAGTTTGGAGCACATGTTAATGCTGGCTACAATGGCATGATCTTTGTGATGGGTCTTAGGATATGTCTTCAAGCAATATGTGCTTTAAGAAATGATTTTTTTGTTTTGTTTTGTTTTTAAATGACTGATATTCCCCCATAGTTTTTCCAACTCTTTTTGTAAAAGGTAGTACTCAAACCCATTTAATTTCAGCCTTCCCAGTTTTATTTTTACAGTGGTAAAGCTTTTACTGATATCTCAGGTAATCAAAAAATAGTTCTTGAAAACAGTTTTCTGGCTCTTTGAAGGAGAGTGAATTCGTTCACTTTTTATGCCCCATTTTGCACTAGACCTATACAGCAAATGAAAAGGGACAAGAACCTGTATAAAGGAGTGTTATTAGTACTTGTTATTAGTACTATGATTATGTTGCAATTATGTAGTTGTCAATGAAAACTTTAATGTGTAGTTATACCACTGCTACTACCACTGCTGCAGCTACTGTAGGTGTGAGGATATGAATTGCTACAAGTGCTTAGTGCTCAAATTGCCTCAGAGTGGGAACCAATGTGAGAAGCACTGCTTGTTTCACAGAGCTAAATATACATCATTTAATATTTAAATAACTGCATCTTTGCAATAGAGAATTAATAATTGGCAAAATCTTGGTTTGTAAAACCTGAAATGAATTGAAGAAAATTTGGATAAATCTTCCTTTAGTACAACTAATACAGCACTATCATTTGTCTTTTCACTGTTTCACTTGTTAAAGATATTATAGCCTGGAATCCAAATGATAACATTTATCTTAGAATCATAGAATCTTAAAGGCAGATAAAAAGACTGCAAAAATTTGCCACGGTTAATTGAAATATTCTAATTACTCTTAGAATATATTAATGAACTGTATTTTTTATAAGGGTTCCTTGATGTGTTTTCCTATAGGTGCTTCTGAAACATCTATTCCACATATATTGAAAGTTTTTTATTCTTGTTCTAGGAGCAAAGTTTAAAAAATACCTGGGTCATTCTGCTCATGTGACAAATGTCAGATGGTCACACGATCACCAGTGGGTTGTTTCCATTGGGGGAGCTGATCATTCTGTCTTTCAGTGGAAATTTGTCCCTGATCGAAAGTTGAAGGATTCTCTTCATATAGCACCCCAAGGCAAGTAACTTACTGAAAGGAGCTAAAAAAAAAGGGGGGGGGGGGAGGGAAGGAGGGGAAGCTAAAAGAGAAGTAAAATTCTTTGGTGCAAGTGTAACAATAAATATTCAGAATTGTCAGCAAAATTTTGTTGACTTGTTGTAAACTTTGTAGTTGCCTGAAGTACCTGATAGCATTGCCTGATATTTGTCTGTACCCTGTATGTTCAGTCTAGCAAGGTTGTGAAAAAAAAAAAAAAAAAAAAAAAAAAAAAAAAAAAAAAAATTCAAAAATTCACCACTGTGTCCTCTGTGCAAAGGGAATATTTAGAAGCACTGACAGGAGTTTATGAATTCTGTACATATCATCCTTTACTAAATTGACAACAATTGGATGTTCAGATATCACTGGGGAAAAAAAAAAGTATATACTCATTTAGATGATAATTCAAGCATTGTAATTGATTTTTTTTTTTAAGCAGGCTATAGGAAAAACACACTATTTTGAGAAAAATGTAGATCGTGTTTCCAACAGTGACTAATACAGCAATTATTCTCATGACTGAGTTTCCCAAAATAAAAAAATTGAGTACCTCATGTGGAAATTCCTAAAGGGATTCAGATATTCCTTTGGGGAAAAAAAAGTATATAGAGTTAAAATTAAATAGGCTGTTTCAGCCTTTAATTGCTAATTGAAAAAGTATCAGTACAGACCTAGCTAAAAGGAAATGAATGCTGATTCAGGGCTAGCCTTGACAGTGCCAAATGCAGAAAGAAGCAATAATTCTCTTCATCTCCTTGATGAAGCTTTCAGAAAGCCTTTAAATGATTCGATCCTTTGCGGTATGAATTAATTTCCAACTAATTAATTCCCATGACCCAAATTTCTCATTGGTTAATGATAAAATTGCTGTATATTATATTATTTAGATTCCTTGTTCCTGGATATATCACATTATGGCTTTCTGACAGTATGTGCAACATATATCTGTTTTGTCACCCTATTGATTATTGACCTGTTAATGGCTTTTCTAACTGTAATCTGCTACCTTTAGCAGTGGCAATATTGTTTTTCTCTAATCACTGATCTGATTACTGAACAACGTTAAGTAGTATTGCTCCAAAGATCATTATATATATGTAATCTATATGTTGTAAGAGTTGTGATTCTCTCTTTGCAATTTCATTTTGAAATCTTATAGAATCCACTTGTGTTCTAGACATATTTTGTGTCTGGTTTCTTAAACAAAAAGTGTGCAATGTTCACTCAAAAGTTAGAGAAAGATCCAAATATGTCATCAGCCAGGACGTTCTTTTCAGTTTCTTTTGGAATGATGCTTTCTGTGCTACATTATCTGGCCTTCCCCAGATATGAAACAGAAACATTAAATTACTACTCTTTTTCTCCAGTCACTGAAAATTTTGGTGCTTCCTTCCCATGTACAACTTTTTTTTTTTTCCTAATCTGCCTGAAGAATTGCTACTTGCATCAGTGGCTAACCATGAGTTTATCTTTGTAGCCCTTTATTCTTGTTGGTTTTCTGCAAGACTTCTGCTTTACATTCATTATTTAGTTCTCTTTCTTTCTTCCTTTCCTCCTACCATTAGTGTTGATGAAATAATTTTAATGAATGAAAAATAACTTGCTCCCAGAAACAGAAAAATTTCAGGCTTACAAATTGGCTTATTTCTACTGTATCAGCAGAAAAGATCCTGTCAGCTTGTCAATTATTAGCAGGTTATGTTGAAGTTAATGTGAGCACTGATTATCAAATCAGCAACATTAAACAGTTACTTTAAAGTCTTTCTGGTTTGTAATTTAGGTTGCTTCATTTTCAGTTTCTGTTTTCTTTGTGGCAGAGAGTCTGGTTGATTCTAATAGTGATGAATCGGATTCAGATCAGTCTGATGTTCCAGAGCTGGACTCTGAAATTGAACAAGAGACACAGATCACCTATCGTCGACAGGTAAAGGTTTTGTTTTTAACGGCAGTTGGAATTCTTTCCAGGGTTTAAGCTGATTTTTTTTTTTTTTTTTTTTTTTTAAACCTGTTGAAGTCTGAAAACTGGGGAGACCACGAGCTGAGCAGAACTGGCCAAAACTTTTAGGATTGTTACCGTCTGATGCATTCAAAATATTAAGATACAACAGGGAAGAAAAAATGACTACATTTATTCTTATCGTGTTCTATTAGGGTACTGGTTGTAATTTAAAAGCAAGTTACACTATACAATAACCAGCTACAGTTGTTGGAGACGTTTTTCAGTGATGTCCATATAACATTTTTGTGGCTGAATTCTCAGAAACATGCTTTTTTTATGAATCCCTTAATTTAAAAGTGTGCTTTCTTAAAGGTTTACAAAGAAGATCTACCTCAACTTAAAGAGCAATGCAAAGAAAAAAGAAAAAGTGCAGCTTCTAAGAGGCGAGAGCGAGCTCCAGGGAACAGTATAAGATTACATTTTGTTCATGGGTATGAAAACTAAGATTCTTTAAAATATACAAGTAGGCTGGTTTTGTTTTGTAGCATGGTTTTTGTAATTTAATAATATGATGAAAGACTTTTTGATCAGTTGCTTCATGATGTACTCTTTATTTATTTCTGTAAAAATAAGTTTACACTAAAATAATAGAAAGATTTAATGCCAAACTCGATTAATTCTAAACCTGAAGTGAATTTGTACTGAAACTTTAGCTGACACATTAAATTTGAGTAGAGGTGACTAAATAGATTTAGCTATCACCCGTATTTTTCAGTATCTAGAAAGCAGTAGTTCTCTTTGGTGTATTGTTTTGGAAGCTTCAACAGAAACTTGGTGTACTTGAAGTTGACTGGGTTGTACTAAGTGGTTTTTCTATCAGTGTATTTATTATATGTATAAACCTTTTGTACCTAATGTGAAATAACTGACACATTCCTCTATTTAGGAATTATATTTGATTCTTAACAGGCCCTGTGTGTTAAAATTCGGTTTCATTCTCTTTTTGGTGCTAATTTGAGTAAAATGACTTTCAGATGCATCTTCAAATCTTACTATTTACTCATTAGGATTAATGCCATAACTTTACATAAGTGAAGACTTTTTCTTTGGAACAAATGTCGTATTTTAAAGCAAGCTAGCAGTAGATGTTACTACATTAGAATAATAATCAGAAATATAAATTCCCATCATACAAAGTAAACTATAATTCCTTTATTAAATTAAGTCATGGGAAACCAGGCAATAATGTGTTTTCCTTTCAAATGATACCTTTGCAGGAATATAACTTCTCTTTAGGGATAACTAAATTCAGATAAGTTGCTGATATCTGCATAATAATCAGATAATAAACAGATAAGTTACTGATACTGTCTATCTTTATAATGATACTTAAACAATTTTAGAGGGGCTCCACATGGAATGCCTAATAAATTAGCTAGCTAAGAGTAGTTAATTTAATTCAACAGTTTTGTCTGTAGAAGACATGGAGTCTGAGGAATAGCTTTGGAAATAAAGACAACTAGGAAGGCAGCTTGGTACAGCATTGGCTTTTTATTTCTGTTTTTGATGCTCCAGAATTCTCAGTTGAAGATTCTTATAGCTACGTAAAAAATGCATTTAAGGTGGGTAGCTGTATGTAGACTTTAAAATTTAGTCTAAATTTCAAACCAAATGATCCTGAAGAAGATGTAGCACAAGTAAGAGCCCTGGATCTCTGGGATTATTGTTATTTCCTTCACAACAGAAGTGAAGCTTGACCAGAATATCCAGGAATGACCAGAAGTAGAATGTCCAATTGAGTTCTGTTTGGTTATCCAGTGGGCATCAAGGAAACTAATGAAGAATCCATGCTGAACAACAGATATTTCTTAATATCCAGACTGTTAACTTTAAAGTGACACACATCCAAGTGAGTAATAGGCATATTCTGTGATTCAGGAAGTCTTCTTTGCTTCAACTTTCCTTAGCTGCAATGGAAATGTCTTGGATGTTCCTTGAAAGTGCAAAAAAGTGGTGCTTTTTTGAACTAGGAGAATAGGAAGCTCTTTTTTCTTTCTTTGTTTTTGAGCACATTGGTTTTGTCTTTTGAGTGTCAACTGCATTGAAAGATGAATTTTTAAAGATCTCTTCATATCCTGTAAGAAATTTTTAAACCTCTGGTTGATTCCTCTTTTGAAAGCGGATAAAAAGGATAATGCTGAGAATGTGAGCCAGCCACTGACTGGTATGGATGAGAATGCAACTTCTATTAATAGATTAATCTTTAAGTGCCTCTTTCTCTAAGAGATATGAGGCAATCAGGAACATGTTTTGCCTCTTTTTGACTATTCCTTAAATTTTTTTCTGCTGGGTCTTTGACAGTGGTAGTGATTCAAAAATATAAAAGGACATTCAGAGGAACCCTTTCTCAGACTCAGTGCTTACAACACTTTATTTTTCTGGCAGGGGTATAAGGATGCAAATACAATACTTATGCCCTGTATTCTCCCTGTGCTGCTGATCTCACAAGAATGATGATTGAAAGATTTAAGCAAAACCTAATTTGAGTTTCAGGATATTCATTGAAATGTCCTTATTGTAAAATGAAGTTTGATTACAGTTTCAAGATGATGTCGATTTTCTCATTCTCATAAATGAGACTACTGTGACACCTTGCATGGATTCCTACCAGGGGGGTACAGATACCTACAAATAACATCTGTCATATTAACTTGCCTCAGTCCTGGATTGATGGTTTGATTAGCTGTTGCTGAAGACCACTTGAAAACATCAACTACTGCAGAAAGCAGTGTTACCTTTGTTATGCCCTGTCATACGTTATCCAGTAATTGATGCAGAGCTTGCTTTCAGTATTATTTAGTTTCTAGCTGCTAATCAAGATACCTTGTAAATTACTTCTGTGGTTCGTTTTCTTCATGGAACAAATTGTTTCTCTTCATACTTTTTCTGAGATTAGCTAATGATGTCAGTTCTAGATTGTTGTAATAATACAAAGATGTAAGTATTTTGGAACTATGTATCATGTTCTTTTGGACTGATCTTCTACAGTGAAACATTCTTTTTTTCATCTCTGCTTGGACTATCTAAGCCCTTCATTTTGTCCTTCTGGTGAAAAGTACTCATAGTCAGGGAGTTAAACTGACATGTGGGAAAGACAAGATGTGTTTGACTGAGTTACAAAATGTCTTCTCTGCTTGATATTTTGACTGAATGTTTTATTTTAATTGTCAGCAACTGATTGTACAGACTTTTTTTTTTAATAACTGGAGGAAGTGGACTAAAATCCAAACTTCTGATCATAACAATCTGTAGATATGAATAGTAACTTTTCCTGCAACCTGGATACATTTTGGATGTCTTAGGTAGTCCTATGATATGCGGTATTAACATACTCTGTTTCACTGTGCTTAATTTAGGGTAAATAGGCTAATATGATAAGAGCACCCAAAATTCTGAATTGCTGGGCTGCATCTAGAATAATCTGACACCCTCCTGCTCTTTTAACGTTGTTTACTTTTGCAGGTGACTGCTAATCTTGTAAGAAATTACTTAACATCCAGTATTTCTAAAATATTATTTCTTTCAGCATACACTTTTTTGTACCTGCTTTTAAAAATATTCTTATTCAGGGTGCATATTCAGCATTTTTTAAATTATTCTGCACTTGCAAGGGAAGTCCAGTATTTTTAATGGAGCACAGTTCAGAGTGAAGCACAGGAAAATGTCTGAGCAGTGATAGGTCCAGATAACTTCTTTGGGACTGTGCCTGCCTTTGTAATCCCTGCCCCTCACTGATTGTCATCGTGTCCTTAAACTGTTGTTGCAAACTGATAGATTATTGTTTTCTTTTCTCATAGTTATTATAGGTCATTGAAAAACTAGTGGCTGGACATCAAAGAAAGGTGCAGCCAATCAGGGCCAGCAGACAGCACTTTGGGACAGGCAGAAATCAGCTTCAGAACATCCACACATGTTGCTGCTGTGGGATATTGTTAGTGAAGTATATGGGTGGAGTGAGAAAGAAGCATGACTGGAGAGTCTGCACCTGTATTGTGAGTCTGAATTGTTGGTCACTTTGAGAAGAGCAGGGAGCAGCAGCTGAGCCTCAGACCTAGTGGAAAGGAATTTTTGTAGAGACCTTGAAGGGACAGTAACTCAGGAGACAGTGAAAAGCTGCTGGACTAGGACTAAATCTGAAGTTAAAAATTTGCCTGTGGGTACCTACCTAAGCAGTGGATTGGAGGGACACTTATATAAAAGCTTTTATTTCTGTGCTATCACAGTTTTTGCTGGTTTAAGAAGTTTGCTTTGCTTGCTTGTCTTCTACCGACACCCACCTTTGGACCTCACAGTACTGGGGACAGTACAAAACTGGGAGGTGTGGTTGGTCACCGGACAGCTGTGCTGCCTTTGAGAGGGACATGGACAGGCTAAAGAACTTGGTAGGGAGGAACCAAAGACTTACTTAAATTAAAAATTGGGTGCAAAAATACCCTAAACAAAGATAATTTATGTCCAATTCAAGTGTCATTCCCTTCCTGTCAATTGAACAATGGATTTAGAAATGCAACCAGATTTTGCCTGCATCTTTGTAAAAGAACTAAAAATTTGATGCAATGAAGATCTGTAAGGAAAGCAGAAGGAACAGAAGGAGGTCAACTGGGAAATTAACAGCATAGGAACAGGATGTTAGGAGTATATGGAGTATTGTTCATATCAGAAGAAGGGAAAGAATATCTGTTTACATCTTTAAATGTTATCTTCATTGACTTCTAAGGATAGCATTGTTAAAAAAAACCTAATTTAAAAGTTGCTTGTTTAATGCTTTTTAGGTTTTTAAAGCTTTTAAATTACTTCTGAAAGTAGGACCCTAGGCTTTTTGAAAATGCCACCTTTGATTTTTATGAGATGCTGAATCTCAGTCACACCTAGGAAGAAACGTGTGTGCTGTGATAGTGCATGAAGACCTCAGTGGGGAATGCCGGCTGCTGTATCAGTGCAGAAAGGAGATGAGTTTTCTTTCAAAGAAGAAACTGATCTGAAATAAAATTTTTGCCTTCTGTTAGAAAGTTTCTAGAAACTTTCAGGCTAATGATATCTGTGTTGTCCATGTTCTTGTAGAAACTTTTGCTGCCTGATTTTTGAATAATAAGAGATAAAAATGTCCAAAGTATTTGTTTTGGCTATTTCATTTAATTACATGTTGCATGCCCAAATTCTCCACATGATCTGAAAAAATTACTAGCTGTCACTTCCTCTTCTAAACTTAGGGAGGGTATCTATTAAATAGCAGCCGCTTTCCAACAAATGCTAGAAGAACTGATGTCTGAATAGTAAATGAAAGTGGTAAATTTGTGTTCTTTTTGGAAACGATATTAATAATCTTAAAACACCCAGACAGTGGTGGGTAAGGAATCTGAGTTTTCACATGTGCCAAACGCGTCTCGCGTGGTTCTAGCTGACGGTTTTATTACGCAAGCTTGAGAAGGTGATGGGCAAACTCTTCTGCTGTAGGTACAGAGGCTACGACTGCCGGAGCAATTTGTTCTACACGCAGGCGGGGGAGCTCGTGTACCACGTGGCGGCAGTGGGGGTGGTGTACAGCCGGCAGCAGAACACCCAGCGCTTTTACCTGGGGCACGACGATGACATCCTTTGCCTTGCTATTCACCCCTTAAAGGACTATGTGGCCACAGGCCAGGTAGGGTGCACGTTTGTCTGCAATAAGAATGTGAAGTTGTTAGTACTGAGTTTCAGAAAGGCTATTCTGGAGGAAGGAAATCCAGTCTACATTTATTGAGGTGAAGAACTGCAGTTGTTTTGCAGATGGAATCATGTTAAAAATCTGCAACATAAGTGGTTTTCCAGTTCTTTGGATTAATTCCAACAAGAGTGTTTAGCTGATAAATAATAAAAAGGTTCAAAAAACCCCTAAGAATAGATTAATATTTTGTATTCAGCATTATGCTGCTTCTTCATGATAACAAGTGGAGGAAAAGTGCAATTAAAAGATATATATTTTTTTAAGTATCTTAGTTATGAAGTTAGTGATGTGATTATTACATTCATGTATTATTATATAACATGAAATTAACAGTTGTTACTATATTCTAGCATTTCAGTTTCATACATTATGTCTTTGGTTATCACCTATAGCCCTACTTTTTATTGTTTGTACATGTAACACAGGCTTGTGTATTGTTGAAGTATTTATAATAGTTCATTTTATATTTTGCCAGACAGTAATTTTAGGTAATTTTTTTCACTCATGTTTTCAGACAGTCATTTGTTCGTATTAATGTTTATACAGCAGGACTTGAAGGTTTGATTTGATGTTTCAGGGGGTGGTAATTATTGTTATAATTATTATTGGTTTTCTTGTTGTTCTTATGTAATAAATAGGAGAACGTGAACTGAAATGTTAATAGAAATAAACATTTGCATATAATGTCCTTAATTTGTGCAAAAATGTTTTAGATGAACATAAGTTTGCAGGTCAGTTTAGAGATTAAATGCCTAAATGTAAGAATTTATTCTATTTAATTTTGGAGTAGTAAAGACTATGAATAAAAATGGGCCTGAATTTACTATATCTTAAAGTACCTTATGCTGTCAACACAAAGCTACACTCCATTATATACTGTCTTGTACGTACACTTTATATACTGTTGTATACTACATTGCCTACAGGAATTGGGTAGTGCAGTAATTGGATTCCAAATTCAACACTGTTTCAGATTTTCCTGATAGTGGATGTCATGAAAAGCTTTGCAAACATGACATATTAAGTTTGTGGCAGAACCAGAAATAGATCGTAGTTTTCTTGAGTCCTGCCCCCTGTCTTAAACACAGAGAGTGTTCTTCTGGTTTTGCAGCTTTTTTTATCCACTGAAATGCAAACCCTTTAGAGTAGCAAATCGTCTTGTAAATATTGACTAATAATGCTTCTGCATAGTTCAGAAGAATAAGTTATATTCATTCCATTTCTTACCAAGTTCTAGTTACCTGAATTAGTGCCATTCTAGTGGAGATTATTCCACAGGTACCAGTGCATTACAGTCTGATTTGTAGGCACTTGTAATGATACCAGAAAGCAAGAGAAGTCACCTTTATTTCTCAAACATAGTGTAGCTTGCATACTAGCAATAAAAATAACTTGTTCCTTTTAGAAAGGGAGTGACTGACAGAGAATTGATGAAATAAATATGCCACAGTGCAGTCATTGAAGGGGCTGGATTTCTTTTTTATTTTGTTTTTATTTCCCACAACAAGACTCTAATTATTTGTGAATAATAAGCCTGAATTCTTTGGAAGGAAGAGCGAGCCAGCTGGGGAGTGGTGTTTGTAAAGCAGGAGAAGGAATAACATACTGCCAAGTGATGCTAGGAAAATTTTATCATTGTAAATTTTTTTCAAATACTTTGTCAATATTATACTTTTAAACAACTGTGTGAAGTAACTGAGAAATGAAAAAAAAATGGTTATAAATATGTGTACTTTCAGGTTGGTCGAGATTCCTCAATACACATTTGGGATACAGAAACAATAAAACCACTCTCAGTATTAAAGGGCTATCACCAATATGGTGTTTGTGCTGTTGACTTTTCAGGTAATATTTATGTATGTATGTATTTATTTTATGTATGCTTTTCTGTATGAAAATACAAGCTAATCAGTTCTTATGAGCTACTGGGAATTCCTTTTCACTGAAGGTTTGTATTAAGAATACTCTCCAGTGATCAATGTCAAATGAGAGAGGCTGCATTAAAGTTAATTGTTCATTAAAAAGAGCTCCTGTGGAGTCTTGGCACATCAGGAAATGCAGGAACAGTTTCTGTGCCATTTAATAGCTGAGCTGATCACTTCAAAATTTCTTTTGGTTGTAAGAAGCAGGCATGCAGATCTTGAGTGTTGTGTCTGCAGTACAACTATATGAGCAAATTGGTCAGGTCTACACTTAAAATAAATCCTGCAAGCCAATTAGCACACTGCTAAATTCACAAAGTCCACTTACAGAGTTATGGGCAGAAACAGCCTCTCTCTCCACTTTATACTAACATAAGAGACTGTCAGTTAAATCTTTTGGGATTTTTGCACCCCATACATTGAATTCTTGTACCAGTGTTAAATTCACTCTTCTCCGCTGGCTTCTATTCATTCTTTAATGGTTTGGATTTGCTAGCTAGGATCTCTGATCTCACAGTTAAGATGTGTTACCATGAAGATGAGTAGTTTGGGGTCTTCACTTCTTAACTTTTCTTTGGTTCTCCTTTTTCAAGACATGAATCTCATTTCCTAAATTCTGGCATGGCTGCATAACAGTTTCAAAGATGGATACATTTCAGAAAGTCATTAATCATGACTGAGCACAAATAACTTTCTTGAAGGCTAATGAGGGATACATGTTAAAGCTTCTTAAAGACTTCACACTGTTACTAAGTTTAAGGATATTTCATAAACCTCAAGTTATTGCTTCAGTGCTTTCCTGTTTGCAGATGAACAGGGATTTTCAGAGTGTACAGAAAATTCTCACAGTATTACCTGTGAAGAGGGTTTTTGTGCAACTGTGTCATCAACTAGTTGAACAAAGGATTTGAAACAAATGCATGGAATCCAAGTGCAATTTTTAGACAGGATAACTTAAAAGATAACTCCTAAACTCCATCCAGCTGGCCACTCAAGCTTAAAAGCAAACAGATGACACAAGTGCTTCTAAGCACACATCATACTATTGTTTACCTGTTTATACATTCTTACAATATTTGTGAAGTTCTACTATTCTTTAATACTGTTTCTTATTATTGCAATAAAATGTTACCTATCTACTCTCTTAATCATAAATGTATTTTTCTAGCGGATGGCAAACGATTGGCTTCTGTTGGCATAGATGACAATCACACTATTGTGCTCTGGGACTGGAAGAAAGGAGAAAAGCTTTCAGCTGTAAGGTAGGAATTTAACTTGGTCTTAAAATTAGTACCTAAATTTATTCTCAAATAACAGAAAGCAGAATATGTTAATTCAAGAATAATAATTCCCCAATAACTTAGCAGTTTCTATCACTTAAGTGATACAGATGCTAGTGTTTATCACTTAAACCTTCTTTGGAGGAAAATACTGAGGCTCTGATAGACTCAACAAGAATTATTACAATGACAGCTCAGTTCAACTGGTGAAGAAAGAGATAGAAGACAAAGTTAATTTGTTTATTTGGTGTGTTCTGAAATAATTTCTTTAAAACTTACTCCATGCACTTCTGATGGCCGTCACAGAGATAATGTATGCTCTGGTCTTCAGATCCTTTTCATCAGAGGTCATGTCATTCTTGAGATAGTAGTTTGTACTTGTTTTGCTCAGTTCTCTTCTCTTCTCTTTAAGTTTCTTAACTTTTCCTTTTCTGAGCCCCCTGGTCTAACTTTGAAGTTAGTTCTGTTTTGAACAGGCAATTGGACTATATAACCTCCAAAGGTTAAATATTTTGGAAGTTTCTTTGACTCTGCACAAGTTATTTAATATATGTTTATTAAACAAAGTTGTAATCTACAAGATAAAATCTTATCTCTAATGTTGCATAGTGTTTCTGAAACCTTTAACTTGTTCATAAGGAATAAGGATGTATTGCTTTAAATAGAGCAGTAATGCGAGTGGATTTGTCCCTGCTCTGTCTGGATTCAATATATACAATCTAAATACTGTTTGAGGTAGGTTTGGAAGGGATTTATTATTCTTTGCAGATACAATTTTAAAAAAACTTACTGTTTAGCCATTAAGTTCATTACTGCTCTTTAATGACATTTGCTGGTGTTTTCTTTTTAAACACGGTTTGAGTTTCCTATCCACTGAGGAATGAAAATGTTGAATAGATGATGTAGATAGAGTACTTCCTTCCCAGTTATGTCAGAAGCCCAGTTAGCTTGGTGTCTCTGAAGACAGTGGTTTAAGCCTTTCATTTGTCTGCCTTTCACATTATTTTGTTGTTTGGTTTTTTTTTTTATTTTTTTTTTTTATTATATTTGAACCCATTGATCTCACTTAATTATTTTTTTGAATTGACCTTTAAACAGTTTATACTGGATTTTGTTTCTGGAGTGTTTTTCCTCCTGCTGACTCAGAGGAATTGAATAGAATTTTTGAGTGTAGCATCCGTGCTTTGTAGATCAAAGTGTGAGTTTGGAAAGAAACTGGTTCATGCTTTTTGCTATTAGTTCATCTGGTGGTCTGAAAATGACAGAACGTAAAAGATTATTGCCACTCTTGAACAGGGAGCAAATATTGGGGATTAGAGGCTCTTGTGAAAAAAAAACCCTACTAGTAAGCATTTCTTTCCATGCATAGATCGCAAACATAGTTGAAAGCTCTTTTTCAAAATACAGAACTGAAGCAAGACATTGGTTTTATAGAGGCATAGTAAGAAGTCTGAAACATACAGTAGATTTTAGTGGGTTTAGAGACAACTGAAATTCCTATTTTAAAATTGTTGTAGCAGCATATGTTTTATTCTAACAAGGCAAATAGAAAAATCAAATAATGAGAAGAGAATGGCAATTTATTTTCGGATTGAGGGACTTTTAAATAAGTTTTACAACTTTTCAACTCTTAGTTTCACTAAGAGCTGTCAGAGGTCTAAATGTGCCCGAACTTAACGCAACTCTATATTCTTTTGCAAAGAAAATGCCACCTAGTGGATTACTGAAGTAACATAATTACTCATCGGCTTTGCAAACTGAAGGGTAATGGAAACAAAACAGAACTTAAGCGTGTTAGTTCTTTGACTGTCTTCATCCTCATAATAAATTATTGTTAATGTTTTGGAAGTAAATGTTAGCAAGATAGACAAGATATATACTAGCAAAACAAAACAAAGCAAATAAACAACCCCCCCAAACCCGTTTAAAAATATGGGCAGTTGTATTTTTATTTAAAATATTCTGCTTTGCATTTCAGGGGAAGCAAAGACAAGATTTTTGTTGTTAAGATTAATCCTTATCTGCCTGATAAATTGATTACAGTTGGAATTAAACACATGAAATTTTGGCGTAGAGCAGGTAAGGAAACTTCTCAGAACTACAGAACTTGCTTTTAGAGTATAAATATTGCATCTGTTGTAGTATGTTTCATGCATTGAAGGCAAATGTTTTCTCTTTATCTCTCTCTAACTTAGCTTTGCCCTAGTAGAAGTAATGTTAATGGGCATTATGGTGGTAGTGGAAATTCTTTTTAAGATCAATTCGCTGTCGACATATAGCTACACAAGTAGAAAGGACCCTGCATTTCGTACTGCCTGTTTTTATGTGTAATAATAATATAGCACATTTTCCAAAAACTGTTCTATGGTTTGCTTAACATTTTCAGAAGGCCCTTTAGAAGATACACGTCTCTGGAAGAGGCACAAATATGAACCAATTTAAAGTTACAAAAATTCACACATAAAAATTCCAACAAAGAACTTAAAAGAGGGTACATGTGCCATCTGAGAGCTGTTTGGTTACATGCTCCTATTGCACTTGGCAATTAAAAACCAAGATGATGTGGTTTGCTGTGTCTGTTTGAAAAATCCTGAAGAGTGAAAAACCCATTCCCTGATATTTGTGTGAACTTCATTGTTTTAAACCTCAAAATATGTATAAAGACACACATCCTACAGAAGTCTATCTTATCTGCTAAAAGTGTTCTAATTATTCATGCAGAATTTATGCACATCAATTTATGTGGGTCCCTGATAAAGCTGAATAAAGGAGAAAGGTCTGTGATGAAGAAAATTACACTAGTTTTCTCAGTTCTGGCTCCAACAGAAATTAATTAATATTGCCTGAGAGCAAACTGTTGAAGTCTATATCATATATAATAAATAATGTCAACAATTGTTCTTTCTATCTGTAGAAAGAACAAAGGATGTTAGTCTATTTACTGAATGAAATGCCATGAATTCTTTAGAAATCCTAACTATGATAAAAGCCTGGAGATGATGATGTTTGAAAAAAGAAATGAAATTGTTTAAAATGCCTCTTTTCTCGCTGGCATTGCTCAGTCAACAGGAATGAAATTTCTCCAGTTCTACAGCCCATCTGTGTGAAGCTGCAATGGCACACTAGGAACACCTCCACTGTGAAACACACTTGGCAATCTTAATGTGAGGAGTAGAGTATCAGTGCACATTAACAAATGCCAAGCTTTTTTTCAAGTTAATTTCATTAGGAATTTCTGTGAACTGTGTGGTGGATGTTAAGATTTTTGTCTAGATGTGAATTTAAAAATGGACTTTCTTGTTCTGCATCTATGTGGGTATATCTAGACATCCAAATCCAGATTCAAGTAGTAAGTTAGAAGTAAAGTTGTTTTCTTGAAAGATGCCAAACATTACAAGTTTTTTTTCTGAGAACTCCTCTCAGGCTCATTTTTTTGGCGAGCATGAGTGAAGCAGGACTTGTTGGTCTGGGTAAGGTTGTGTAGTTTTTGGAAGGTACTTCTAAGTAAACGTCTGATGGCTTGTTTTTGGTCTGAACCAGGGGGAGGACTGATTGGGAGAAAGGGCTGCACAGGTACGTTGGGAAGGACAGACACGATGATGTGTGCAGTGTACGGCTGGACTGAAGAGATGGCGTTCTCTGGAACCTCCACGGGGGATGTGTGTATTTGGAGAGATGTGTTTCTCATAAAAACTGTCAAAGCACATGATGGTCCTGTGTTCAGCATGCACGCACTGGAAAAAGTAAATAAACTGCTCATTATTTTTGATATCTGGACAAAAAAAGCCTGTGAAATTAGACCTTTCCCAAACTCAGGAATACATAGCTTTATTTCCGCCACAGTAAAGCCTTGTGAGGTCCAGATTCAAAATAGTATTTTATGCATGTCTCTGATTCTTGTTATGTAGCATACTGTTTCTGAGACTCTGTGGTCCAGCGACATTTTATTCAGTAGTTTTCATGACCTCTTACTAAAGAAATAATTGCAACTTATGATAAGCAAAAGTACTTTTTGATTTAAGCATCCCTAAGTTTAATGGAATATGTGATCTTGTGAGAGAGGACATAGGTCATACTCCTGTTTTGTGCTGTAATTACTTCTTACTAGTGGAAGCATTCAATCTGTAGGTCACTGAATACTCTCTCCCATTTCTTAACTTCTTTTGACTTAGGAAAGACCTTAAGCATGTACTTAAATGTGAATGGGTGTTTCAGTTGGATTGCATGTATGTTTGAAGTTATGTAAATATTTGTGTTTTGCTAGAGTGAGTTATTCAACCTTCTAATATTTAAGTTTCAGTATAGTAACTTTGGACAAAGCATATGTTCCTTGTATTGCAAGAACTAACTGCTCCAAAGGGAAGTACAAATTATTTCAGTACTAAATAGACATGCTGCTTCATTAAACAGATGCAGATAATTTTTGAAGACAGAGTGGCACAAATATGCCTATATTTAAGCACTGATCAAAGTTCTGTGACTAGTACTGAGTTTGGCTTGGAGTAATAAGGTGAAATGCCAAAGGGATGTTGAGGCTAAATATCACGAAAAACATTTCAGTGTGTCAGTTAATTTATTTTTCTAGTACGGTAGAAGCTTACTGGTTAGAACTTCTAAGTTCAGCCTGTGTACATGGACTGTACAGAACTGTGCTGCCTTTGTCAGGAAGAGAATTCAGTCATTTTGTTGCTCCTGAACTGTTCATCTCTAAAATCTGTAGTTCTGTGCCTTACAGTGTTCTTTATAACCCATTTTCAGTATTGGCAGAAATCACTGAAAAATTAAGGAAAAATAATAATTGTAACTCGTTAATTTATTTTTTTTTCTTTTTGCTAGGGATTTGTCACAGGAGGAAAGGATGGAGTAGTAGCTCTCTGGGATGATACCTTTGAACGTTGTCTCAAAACCTATGCCATCAAAAGGGCTGCTTTGGCCCCTGGGTCTAAAGGTAATGCACACTTTATCCAGTTTTTTTATTGTATTTAAAATAATTTATTTAGAAGACTTTATGTGTGGAATAGGTTTCCCTGATAGCAGGAAATCCCCATTTGACATAATGAATACTAAATTATTTTTTTTTGCTTTATTTGGTCTAAATAAGTAATTTTTCTGTTGGGAAAGTTATGTTGTAGTGTCTGTTTTCACATTTGGTGGGTGAATATTACCTTATTATCTTCCTGAAGTAATTGTTTTAACCTTGAATCTCTTGTTGACCAGCTATTTCTTTGTTTTTTTTTTTTAAAGTGGCAACCAAAAAAACTGTTAAATTTCTAATTGTGAAGTATCTTCTCTGATCTTCTTTGCTTTGGAGGAGGAATGGAATTCAGAATTTGATTTATTTTTCTAAAGTGTTAGTATATTTTATGACTTAATGGTCTCTAAATGCATATATCCCTTGAAATTATTTAAGAACATTGTAATTCCTAACATTCCTCTTTATTCTTGATCTTAGTGCTGATTTACATTTTTCCCTGTTTGACACTCTGGACAGCCTTTTTTCTTCCCTCTACCCTTAGAACATTATGTTCTAATGTATATGGTTTGATTTTCAAAAGTTGTGAATGGAAACATCCATTAACAGAAACATTTTACTACAGAACACCTCATTCTCATATCTGTTTAATAAAAAGCTAGATTTGAAGGTACTGTAAATGGTAGCAGTAAAGCCGTATAGTTGATACTTCACATGCATGTTTTTTTTTACCGAGATTGCCAATGAGTCAGGCTGATTAAACTTCAGAGATATTCGGTTGAGGGGAAAGCTCAGTGCCAGCTGGCAAATTGCTAAATACTCCCAGATGAATCCAAAGATCCAAATTCTTCCATGCAGGAATATGTTTTTGCTTTTTTTTACTCCTGAATGAGTATCTTTTTCTACAGTGAGAATGTAATGTGCATATGTGTGAAAAATCCTCTTTAAGGCACACTTGAGAATCCTCGTCTTCTAACATTTTTTAATGTTCTAGGTCTCCTCTTAGAAGATAATCCTTCTATACGTGCCATATCTTTAGGACATGGTCATATTTTAGTGGGCACAAAAAATGGTGAAATACTGGAGGTGGATATAAGTGGACCAATAACTCTGCTGGTTCAGGTACATGTTAAATATCGGTCAAATATTCCATACCACAGACACTATTTTATTTTTCAAGTAAAGACTGTTGTGATGTAACAACCATTTTAATTACTAGTGAAGTTAGCTTGTTACTATCACCTCACAGATTACTTTTTTTTAATGCTACACTAGACTATTATGACTCTTTCATGAGCAAAACTGACCACAAAATTTCATGTACTAGTTTGTTCAACAAGTACATCCTTTCAAACAGACCAAGATAGTATTTCTGTTTTTTAAAAAAGTGAAACTGAAGATGCTCTACCAAATTAATTATTAACCTTTTCTGAGTACTAACTACTCTTACTAAGTTGTCTCCTTGAGGTTTGTTTTTAGATTTTCTTTGTAATTATGTAAAAAACATTTTAGTGTTCTTTGCCATACCGAACAGACTGCAGTTCTTAAGCCTGACTACCAAACAGATCTTTAAATCATATCATTGTATGATTTTCTTTCTTTCATACTTTAATAAAAATCTGTAGATCTTTAATTCACACTTCTGAGTGGCCAATACAGTATGTGAACAACTAGGTGCTTGAAAGAATATATTAGAAACTAAGGTAAAGAAAAAATCTAGATTACAGAATCATAATAGTTTGGATTGAAAGGGACCTTTAAAGGTCATCTAGTCTAATACCCCTGCAATGAGATATTCAGCTAGGTGAGGCTGCTCAGAGCCCTGTCCAAGTTGGCCTTGAATGTTGCCGGGAATGTGACATCTGCCAGCTCTCTGGGCAACTTGTGCCAGTGTTTCACCACCCTCACTGTAAAAAGTTTCTTCCTTATATCTCATCTGAATCTACCCTCTTTTACTTTGAAGCCATTACCTCTTGTCTTATTCCCACAGGCCCTGCTAAAAAAATTGTCCCATTCTTTTTTTGTAGACCTCTTTTAAGTATAGAAAGTCTACAGTAAGGTCTCCCTGATGCCTCCTTTTCTCCAGGCTGAACAACCCCAATGCTCTCAACCTTTCTTCTCAGGAGAGGTGTTCCAGCCCTCTGATCATTTTTGTGGCCTTTGTCTGGACCTGCTCCAACAGTTCCATATCTTTCCTGTTCTGAGAACTCCAGGGCTGGATGCAGTACTCCAGGTGGGGTCTCACCTAGAGTGGAGTAGAGGGGGAGAATCACCTCCCTCGATAGGCTGTCCACACTTTTTTTTTGATGCAGCCCAGCATGTTTGGCCTTTGGGCTGTGAGCACGCTTTGTCAGCTTATGTCCAGCTTTTCTTCCAGCAGTACCCCCAAGTCCTTCTCCACAGGGCTGGTTTCAACCCTTCCATCCCCCAGCCTGTTTTAATACTGGGAATCGCCCCAACCTAGATGCAGGACCTTGCACTTGGCCTTGTTGAACCTTGTGAGGTTCACAGAGGCCCACTTCTCAAGCTTGTCCAGGTCCTTCTGGGTGGTATCCTGTCCCTCAGGCTTGGCAACCACACCACACAGCTTGGTGTTTGTCTGCAAACTTGCTGAGGGTGCACTGGATTCCACTGACTGTGTCATTGACATAGATGTGTGTGAGGATTATTTCTTAATAAAAAGTTTTCTTTAGTACTATTAATATAATTTACACTTTCACTGCAAGTGGCAGAGTGAGTTTTTTCAAATGTTCTATGTTTCTATTCAGATATTTTTTATCCTTTGAAGATACACAATTTTTCCATTTTTTCTTAACTTCCTTAAATGTATTATTTTCTACTACAGTTTGAAATACGAAGTCTTCTGATTTATTGTGTTTTTTCAGGGTCACATGGAGGGGGAAGTTTGGGGTCTAGCTACTCATCCTCATTTACCTATTTGTGCCACTGTAAGTGATGACAAAACCTTAAGAATATGGGATTTATCTCCTAGCCATTGTATGTTAGCTGTTCGCAAGTTGAAGAAGGGTAAGATGTGTAGTATGAAAAAATACTTAACTGAATTCAGTTCACATTTACTAGCATTATGAATCTTTTAAAAGCAAGACTGAAAAAGTTCCTTTATTTGCTCAAATTATTTTATTGGTGCTATGTTCAGGATTTATATAGCGCTTAAGCTAATGAATCTTTCAAAGATTTGTATGTAATACCATTCTTAAGATTATTTGCAATTGTAACATAATTAAGTCAGAAGATTGGTAATAACATTTGAGCTAATTTCTTAAGTCTGGCATGTTGTTTATAGTATCACAAGCTTTTCTGAACAGTGGAGGACTTAAATCTAGAAATTTGGGGAAGGAGTCTTAGAAGTAATGTTGAATTTCTGTTCCCTGTGAATGTTACAAGAATATGGGATATCAAGAAATGAGAACAGTTGTAAAATTCTTAATCGTTGTATACTATAAAAGTAAATTCTATTTTGACAGATGTCACTCAAAACAGATTTTTCCATCATATGAGGAGACTGGTTACAGACTTAAACCAGACTGGCCTTGACTGGTTTTTAATGATATGTATGCTTTCCTGGACAAAGGAATACAATAGGCTTTATCTGCTTGGCATTCAGTGAAGTTTTTTTATTCAAACCTTATAGGAACCTTAGTTGAAGATAGTTTGGATTGATAAAGTAAATGTAAGGAGTCATGAGAGGGTACAGGCAGGGGTTAAGCAAGAAAGTTTCAAGTTGATGAAGTCTGCTCAAGAGTTAAAGCCTGTATTTCTTAGTATTTATATAAGTAGTTTTGGCAGAAAAATACAGACTGCATTGACTTAATTTGCTGATGAGACACATTTTGAGATGCTTTGGCAATCTTAAAAAGCACCTTTGTACTGTACAGAGTGCAGTAATGGAAATGAGATTATACTTGGTAATTGAAAAGGGCAAGACTTGATGACTGTAAGAAAAATGAATAGCTGAGGAGTAACTGAGGAGCAGAAGTCTCAGGGTGTTCTAACTGATTGCAGGATGACAATTACATGTGATGGTGAGGTATTTTTCCCAGAATATAGTGAAGTATTCATCTAGTTTACAGATGACTGATCAAAATATTTCTGATGTACACTTCTTATCTGTGTTCAGCTGAGTAAAATGAAACCGAAAGTTCAATATGGAGAAGGAGAAGCTGCAGGGTAATAAATGAAAAGGTTTGTGGTGGAGTCAGCTAAATAAAGGATTACTATCTACAAGTTAGTCAGAGGAGCAAATAGCCGGGAAAAATATTTATGTGAATGGAAAATTCTGGCATAGAAACAAATGTAAGATGACCATAAATAAAATTAGATTGGAAATTAAACTGATTTTCAAATGAAACATTGTGTTTATTAAAAGGATTATATGACATTGTGACTATGATAGCAAATGACTGGATTCTGAGTCCAGAAGGTCTGTTCCAGCTATGTTCTCCTTACTAGAGCAAATGGTAACAAACAACTGGCACCAGCTACTAAGGAGAACAAATTAAAAATATGGAGACAATAATGATTAATCTACATAACTGACATTGAACATATGTCAATAAATGTAATTAAGATTCTGAGGTTGTGTACTTGTTGATGTACCAGTAGCTTCTGTGTGCTATCACAAATGTAGAACTTAGATGTGATCTTGGCAGCATCTGAAAAAATCTGTTAGACTCTATACTTTAAGAATAGCTTTCCTTTACTATTGGAAAAACAAATCTAAAAGAGGGATTGTGCACTATAAATGTACCTGAATGCCATTTCTGTATCCCTCATAGGAGGCAGATGTTGCTGCTTTTCTCCTGATGGAAAAGCATTAGCCGTTGGTCTCAATGATGGAAGTTTTTTGATAGTTAATGCTGATACCCTGGAGGATTTAGTCTCTTTCCAGCACAGGAAAGATGTTATTTCAGAGATACGATTTTCTCCTGGTAAGTGCTTTAAAATGGAGATTTTTATATCAAGGTTGTTTAAGCAAGTTTTATGACCTTTAAAAGATAAGAGTTAGAAATTTGTAGTAATTTTTACATGTAACAGGTCAGCAAGAATAATATTATTATTTTGAAACGTACTGGGTGTAAAGCCCTTTGTTGCTCATTTAGCCATGTTATCATGGGAACAAGCTTGCTCATAATAACCTCCTGAATGCAGCAGTCAATTTTAAATCATGAACATCCAGCGGCCTCTGTAGGTCCCTAGGTTTCCACTTTATGAACTGCATAAATTTGGCTCTTGAGGTTACTGTTAGGGAATGAGAACAATTGATGTGACAGAAAGTTCTGGCATCTTCTTTCTTCTTTTTCCCCCTACAGTGCTTAGCACTCCCAGCCAGAATGTTGTTTTTTTTTTATTTTTTCAAACAGTACAACTCTTATTTAGGAACTCAAATGTATCACCTGAATACTACTTTATTGAAAATACTCTTTGTAGGAGAAATTGGATGCAAATTACTGATACCAATTCTCATTCAACATTACTTTCTGATTATCTAAGCCTGCACCACTCTGAGTGCAAAAAATGTTAAAAATTTCATCAAATAGTTTTTATTGTTTGAAGATGTAATGATGTAGTGGTTGTGTATTTCATACTGATTTGGATTCTATGGTATGAACAATAGTCTGTCAGGACCTATGTATAAACTAGCATGCTCATTTCAAAGAAATCTGAGTTGCATATAGCTAAATTCCAGAATGTACTGGTGTTTAATATACAGAGTACTGTGATTTTTGAAAATGCCTTGTTTTTCTACTAATGTGTTTTAGGGGCTGGAAAGTACTTAGCTGTAGCATCCTGTGACAACTTTGTAGATATTTACAATGTAATGAGCAGTAAACGAGTAGGAATCTGCAAGGGAGCCTCCAGCTATATCACACACATGGACTGGGACGTAAGAGGTAAAGAGAATTCATTCTAAAAATCTGGAAGACTGATTACATTGTAGACTAGGTACAGTACATCTGCAGTGTGAATTTATGATGTCGCTGACAGGTCTGTTTCGTCGATTTATGAATACGTTCACAGCATCTGAGTAAAGATAAACCCATGATTTTTCTCCTGTTTATATTTAGAAGTTTTGCAATTTGAAGTAAAATAGATGTCTCGATAGATTGGTTGGGCTTTGGGTTTTGGTTTTTTTTTTTTACATCTTCTGTGTTTGTTGTTTGACTTCTACTTGAATAATGTACTGCATAATGCAGTTGCATCTGCTCAGGAGTATTTATCTTTGCCAAAAATAACAGAAAGACTAGATTTCCTGTCTTCCTCGGTCTTAATATGTGTTTAACTTGGATACTAACTGTAGTCCTGTTTCATACTAAAACAAGGCAGTGCAATTGTGCAGTCTGTTGGTTCCTTCTGTTACTCCTCTACACAATCACTTTTGAAACAGTCCAATTGCATTTGAAAGAGTGTTATAAGTTAGCTTCCTCTGAGAATTTTGAAAACATGAATAAGACAGAAACATTTAATGAGATTTTTTTCCCTCAGAAAAGAAGTAATATAAAGTCAAGCAAAAGTCAGCTGCTTCTGAGCATGTGTATACTGGTCAAGCAATTGTCACAAACAAGGTCTGAGTTAAACTCGGTACATTTTGTGTGTCGCCTGAGGGGACAAACATGAACAGGAGAGAAATGTGATGCATGTTACAAGTTTCAAAGAGAGGAGGAAGGACTGTGGCTTGAAGAGGGTAAAGGATTCTGATCTTCAGAAGCCCATGTTTCCAGATTTCACTGTGTGCAGCTTTTCTCAATGGAAACAATTAGTGTAATTAAAAATTACAAAAGAACATTTTTTTCTTTTTATTTCATTGATATCATGGAGTCTTCTGTTTAATGTTAATATGCAATATGTGATATGTGTTTTAGGGAAGCTCTTGCAAGTCAACACTGGTGCTAAAGAGCAACTGTTCTTTGAAGCTCCTCGTGGGAAAAAACAGACAATTCCTAGTTTGGAGGTGAGGAAATATACTGCCTTCTTAACTTATTTGCAAATCAGTTATGATACATATCACATAGGAGGGAATGATGTACAAAACTGTAATCTTAACTGGTCTGTCAAAAAAGCTTCTGTTGAGGTATTTGCTGTCCTCTATCCATTTTTGTAGCTTGTTCTTAGATAAGTAATCAGAATGACAAAATACATAGAGAATATCACATCTGTCTCTTCTGTTAAGAAATGGATATTTGGCTGACTTAAGCACTCATTAAAATCTTACTGGATGTCTCTATGCCTCTTTTGGTACCTAAATACCTTAAAACCCTGTTGCAGATTACTTAGCCCTAACCTTTCTGTGGAAGATTTCATGTCTATCTTTACATAACAATGCAGTATAGTATACATAATATACATAGGCAAGTATAGTATATCATAGCTATAATATTGATTTGTTTTCTCAGACATAGAGTGTTATTGTAAGCCAGACCAAAAAGGGATAACTTTCAAATAGGATTTTCTATGAGATTGAAAGGAAGGGTTGAAAAATAGAATTTGTTTTCTCTACTCTGAAAGGGCTTCTAGAGGTTCTGGAACTGAAAGTTAATAGAGCTAAAATTAAGGGTCTCGAATGAAATCCTGAATAGTCAGAAAAGATGTGGTTAATGTGTCAAAATATTTTCTTTTAGATGTGATGTATCTTTCAGTGCAGGGACTTTTTCCCTGAAATCAGGTATGGAAGAAGACTGCCTGGGAAGAAGCATACTCTGTCTCAAACAGATTGTTTTTGTAGGTAGAAAAGATTGGCTGGGCATCATGGACAAGTGTTCTGGGCTCTTGCTGTGAAGGAATCTGGCCAATAATTGGTGAAGTCACAGATGTAACTGCTTCATGCCTCACTAGTGATAGTAAAGTGTTAGCCACTGGAGATGATTTTGGATTTGTGAAACTGTTTCGATACCCTGCTAAAGTAAGTAATTTTCATCTGTTTGTGGAGAAGATTGATTAATAAAAACCTGCCTTTTCAAAACTGTAAAAATTGATTGCTCAGGGCAAAAGAGTGCTTTTTTTTTGTCCCTATGATCAAAGACGGCACTTGATTTTACACTGCAATCTGCAATGCATTAAACATGCAGTTAGTAAGAATGACCATTCCAGGTCAGATTAAAGAGCCATCTCATGTGGTGACCGTCACTGACAGTGACAAATGCATAGGAAAAACTGCAAGAATTGGAATGGGAGAGGCACTGTCAAACAATATCTTAGGCATCAATATCCTCAGTGTGGTTTTTATCAGTGTCATTTTCAGACCCTTAAGCTCTTGTTTTGGAAGACAATGAGAATTTCTTCCTCACCTTCATTTCACTCATAGTTTTAGAGACTTTCATTCTGTCCAACCTCAGTTGTTTTTCTCTAAGATGAAGAGATTTATTATTATTTAATCATGCATCATAGAAGAGCCTTTCAGAAGCACATTATGTTTTTACTGCTCTTATAGAACCTTTCTAGTTTTCCTGTGTATTTATTGTTCAAAATTGAAGATGTATTTACTGTTTTGCCATGCTAGGGATGGTAACAATGCACAAGTATTGACTCAAAATAGTCTTTGTGCTTTTTTTTTTTTTCCTTTTTCTGCTAGATTATTTTCTCTCGTAGGAGACACGATCCAGTGTTTATTGCTGGGTTCTGTTCATAAACAAATTCTTGCTTGCATAGTGTGGAAACACAGTTAACATTTCATGAAGCTGATGTAGAGAGGAACGTGGCAAATTATGGGATCCATATAAATGCAAACAAGCTGAAGCATAAACTGTGAAGAAGTTAAGAACATGTTGTCATGTACTGGCAGCTCATTTCAGTTTTATGTAGCAGGCTGATTAAATTTGATATATCCCTTTTCTTCCTTCTTAGGGAAAGTTTGGAAAATTTAAGAGATATGTTGCTCACAGTACCCATGTAACAAATGTCCGTTGGACCTATGATGACAGTTTGCTGGTCACTATTGGAGGGGCAGACACCTCTTTAATGCTGTGGACTTATGAGATGGAAGGACATCGGGATAGCAGACAGTGTGACAGTGAAGAATCTGACCTAGATTCTGAAGAAGATGGAGGTTAGTAATAACTTTTAAAACTAGCTGGATTGTGCTATCTCAAGAAGACTTTACTGATGGAAAACTGCTAATTTAGAAATAATCAAGTTTCATGATTGTTTTAATCTTAAATAGTGAAGATGTTTCAAAAACATGAAGTAAAATTTCTTTTTGGGGAAAGGACTAATGCTGTTGTGCAGAAAATTGTAATAAAATGTTTGATTTACTGCCTTGAGTCAAGAGTATATAAATAGACTCTTATCCTTTAAATGAAAAAATATTAAGTGCCTATTATAGGTAACTTCCAAAAATCTGTATAGAAAAATACTATAAAATCACAGTTTAGATTTGGGCACTAATTCTAAAAGAATTATATTGGCTTCTTGATGTTTCAGCATCTGTTTCCACAACATGAAAACATTGTAGACTGAGGTGGGCTGATGTTCCTATGTGGAACAATGTATTGCAAGACCATAATCAATAAGTCACTACATTTCATAGAATTAACTCATATTGATTTTGCCATAATTAATGTTGTCCTTTTTGTGTTACAATTCCAAGGGTTCATGCAGTGGATGAGAATTTTTATGCACTGCCTTTCCACTTAAAAATATTGAAAACTACATCCACAAAGTAATTTAATTGCCTGCAGGAGGACTCTGTCAGCTTTAGCTTTCTGAATCAAAGATTGCAGTCTTCAGAGTTTTTGTTCAGCTTTTGTGTCACCTGCTAGCACATCTTTGCCCCATAACCTTCCCTAGGCTCTGGTGCTTTACACACAACCCTCTTAAGCTATATATTCAAAAATACTCTAAAGGAAAGAGAGGTCTGTTACGTTTTAGAAAAAAAGACATTGACATTTTTTCACAAAAGTTTCTCTTAATGGGGTCCTATTAGTTTCAGTTAGTGTTAAAATCTGTTCATAAAGTTGGCATTAGTAGTCTACATATTTGAAAAAAATAAGAGGGTAAGTAACAACCCTGTCACTATTTAGCTTTTTTGCTATGTTTACTGTAGTAAACATCATCTTGATGTGCCTGACTGTCCCTAAGCATGATGTAGGAACCTGGTACAGACCTATAGATTCCATCTTATTGGATAGATCTGGAAATTGAGAACAGCCTGGTGATAAACCTTCCAGAACTTAAAGGCAGGTTTCATACAGCAAGTTAATGACCCTGAGTTAAGGCCAACCAAGCAGAAATGGGGTAGTTTTGAAAGTCCCTTGAATCTTTGATAATAATTTCTTTCCACAAAGATACTGTAGAGCATTTTTGCTTAGAACGTCTTTTATTAACAATGTTCATAGTTCCCAGCTGCTTGCTTTCTGGTGTGTGTTTGTTACTAATAATATATGATATATTTATTCTTGTATTCCAGTACATGATTGAAACCTGCACAAATTATGATTTGATTTATTTTGGGTATCTTGTTTTGATACTGTTCACTAATTTTGTTAGGTTATGACAGTGATGTGACAAGGGAAAATGAAATTAATTACACCATCAAAGCCTTATCAACAAACATTAGACCAATGTTTGGAATTAAGCCTCATCTGCAACAAAAGGAGCCAACCATAGATGAAAGGTAATTGCTAAGTTACAATTCTAGCCTGGAAAGCAATCTGAAAAGATGATTAATAGTAAAGTATAATTGTATTGAAATATATATACAACTTGGTGAGTTTCTTGAGATAATTGGTTTATTTGCTGGTGTTTATAATGTGTTCATTTTGGAACGTAAATGCCGAGTGGTATCTAGTGATGGCATTCTAGCCATGAACCTGTACATCTCTTTCATTGAAAGCGACTCTCAATTTTTTGTTTTTGCCAACAAACTAATATGACAAATTGAGCTGTAATTGCTCCTTGTATTGTTTCTGTCTCCAGAGTGCTCCAGCTTTATTTGAAAAATTCTGTCCAGAGTGCTTCAACAGTTTTCATTGATGTGTCTTGGCAAATGAAGTTGGTTGCTTTGCTGTGTTAGTTGTATTGCTTGGTTCACTGTTGTTTACTTTAGTAGAGAAGGGGATGGGGAGCAGAGTAGAATAAGACCAGCAGGTAAAGTAGATGTGAAATAAGAAAAAGAATTTACAACCACTAGAGCGTAATCTGTTGCAGAATCTGTGAGGGAGCATGGGACCCTGAAAGTTGTTTGTTGTCAGCAAAATAAATATGAGCAGTGCATGTGAGGGAAAAGGAAAGAGATTCCTAGCACAACACAGTGGCAATTGAGGAATGCTAGTATTAGAGAGAGGGAAGTGAGGAAAACACAACAGAGTATAATTAGGTATAAGGATATAGAAAAGTAGCAGATTGGGAACTTACTGCAGGAATGTGAGGTTGACAGATCTGTGATGCCCTTGTTGAGGAAAGCAGCCTGATGTTTGTGGGAGTTCTGGTGGTGGTGGCTTTTGTTTTCATGATGTGTTGCTGAAAGAGAGAACGGATGCCTGTGTATAAAGCTGTGGCTCCCTGTCTTGCATTTAAAATAAGAAATGGTGTAGCAGCAGCTCAACCCGAGTAACGACTCACACCGATACGATTAATGGTCGTTCTCCCCTTGTTAGCCCAAATACCCCAGTTTTATCCAGTTCCAAGCAGTCCCCTGCTTAAAGCTATTGTTAATTGGGTACAAGTATGAGTTTTCTCAACCCCCTCCCCAGTATCTGTTTTCATATGACATCAGTTCCTACTCTAAGCTAGCAATTAGCACACTACAATACTGGCTTTATTTCTTGAATACATCTTGATAGCAATTAAGAGCCTTTGGGCCATAGCCCTATACTGATTCATCCTGGGTTGCTTACTGCGGTAGAGGGAAAAAATTCCCCCACAAAATGGTCTTTCTGTTTGTTAGATGTGTTTGATGTAGAAATCAGAAATAATGTGCATAGTACAGTCTTGGATTTATATTTACTCTGGTTAGCGAAAGCTGTGATCAGTTTTGTTTGTTTTTTTTTTTAAATGAAATTATAGACCTCTTGTATTTCTTTCAATAATTGTTTCTGAAAGATGAGTGAGTTTTGTTTTTCAATAAATATTTTATTAAAAATATTTTAAATATGTTGAAAATATGTATTGAAGTAAATTTTATTCAAATAAAATATTAAAAAAAATTATTATTAGCTTCTGATTCAGAATGCATAAAAGTTCATGAAAGAATTCCATTGCCTGCATTCTTTAAAATTTTGGAGCCATAAAATTTCAACAAAAACTTAATGAAGTATAAAACCAGAATATAGTTACTGTGTGCATTTTAATTTCTGAAGCAATATTGTGTAAGATTGGTAGATGTTTTAGAAAGTCTACTTTCATAGATACTAATTTTTATTTTATTTTTATTTCCCTTTCCTTTTGCTTCCTATGAAGGCAGGGGGTAGTGAGGTAAGTTCATTTACACAAAGTCCAGGACCAAACGCGTCTTAATGAGCTGCTTTATTGAAGTGAAGGCTTTAACTCTTTACTATTAAATAGGGGCATGTTAATGGTTAGAAAAGGAATAAGTGACAAAGAATAAGCCAACTTCTCAGTCTGGGTGCTAAATAAAGTGTTTGGGAGGAAACGACCCAATCTTGCACTCTCTTCCTCAGTACTCTGGAGTGGCTGAGGAAGAGCTTGGCTTAAGTAGCTCTTGTCAGAGAGCTCTCCTAACTTCTTGTGGCCTTTTGTAAGACTATATCACAGGGTTGGTGCAGAGGTCCAACAGGGGATAAAAAAATGCCGGGAGCATGTTGCAGAGATGCCTGAAGTGGCTATACAAGCAGTGTCACCCTGTCTGCAGCACTGCACTGGAGCTAATAACGCTTCAGGGCCAAGAGGGCTGTCGCTGACTGCTGCAGCATTTTCCCAAGGCACCTCTGTTAGTGGAGGATCTGAGCTGCCAAGTCCACAGCATTCACAAGGCATGCAGAGTCACTAGCATGCATAGGTGCCTGCACTGGGTAATGAGTTTTCTAAATAGAGTCCTTCAGAGTTGTAGACTGACCTGCAGGGACACTTGGACCTACACTGGGTTAAAAAAAGGAGAACCCCTCTCATACCTACCTGGACCCTGTTTCCACAATGAAATCGCATCCCCATGGTGACAGATGATAGGATTGTGTTAATCTCTGTGTATCTCTTTGCAGGCAAATTGATGCAATCAAGAAAGCCACTGTCTTCATATAAATTTTGTATCATACTACTAGGAATCTTTATCAAATTAGTTCAGTTTTTAAGTTTTTAAAAAAAGGTCTATCTGTAAAGTCATTGTTTATGTGTAAGTTACACATTCAGATTTTTATATATATGTAACTATATATGCAGACTTTTCTTCTGTGTTTGTTCATTTACATGGTATTTGGCTATACTGCTCTGGTGGGTTGACCCTGGCTGGACACCAGTTGCCCACCGAAGCAGCTCTATCACTCCCTTCCTCAGCTGGACAGGGGAGAGAAGATATAATGAAAGACTCGTGGGTTAAGATAAGGACAGGGACATCACTCAGCAATTACTGTTATGGGCAAAACAGACTTGACCTGGGGAAAATTAATTTAATATGTTACCTATCAAATCGGAGTAGGGTGATGAGAAATAAAAACTACACCTTAAAACACCTTCCCTCCACCCCTCCCTTCTTTACACCTGATTTTCTCTACCGCCTCCCCACCCCGAGGCACACTGGGACAGGGAATGAGAGTTGTGGTCAGTTCATCACACGTTGTTTCTGCCAATCCTTCCTCCTCAGGGGGAGGACTCCCTCACACTCCTCCTCTGTTCCAGTGTGGGGTCACTTCCAAGGGAGACGGTCCTCCACAAACTTCTTTAATGTGAGTCATTCCCACAGGTTGTAGTCCTTCTTGAACAGCTCCAATGTGGGTCCCATCCTTGGGGTGTAGTCCTTCAGGAACCTACTGCTCCAGCATGACTCATGTGGTCACAAGTCTTGCCAACAAACCTGTTCCAGAATGGGCTTCTCTCTTTTCATGGGTATACTGGTCCTGCCTGGAGCTTGTTGCACTTCAGGCTTCCCATAGGGTCACAGCCTCCTTTGGGTCTCTGCTTGCTCCGGCATGGAGTCCTCCACGGGCTGCAGGTGGTTATCTGTTGGATACCAGGGGGACAACCTGCTTCTCCATGGTCTTCACCATGGGCTGCAGGTGAATCTCTGCTCTGGTGCCTGGGCTACATCCTCCCCCTCCACATTCACTGACCTTGGTGTCTGCAGAACTGTTTCTCACATATTCTTACTCCTCTCTTTTGTTCCTGATGTGCAGGTTTTTTTTCTCCTCTCTTGAATATGTTAGCACAGAGGTGCTACCACCGTGCTGATAGGCTCAGGCTTAGCCCGCAATGGGTCCATCTTGGAGCTGACTGGCATTGGCTCTATCAGACATTGGGGAGCTTCTATCAGCTTCCCACAGAAGCCACCCCTGTTGCCCTGGGACTACCAAAACCTTGCCTTGCAAACCCAGTATAATGGGCTATGGGTAGTACTTCTGTGGTGTTCCATGTTCCATGTAGGCTTGTTGTACTGCCTGTCATACATTAGAAGAGGTACATTTCTTGCACTAACACTTTACTGGAATCCTTGTATTCTCAGGATCACAGGTACACATCTGTGTAGAATGTGCTTCTGAGAAGGTATTTCAGGTACTTTGACTTTGTGTATAAAGGATGTTCTTTATTAGAAAGTATCTGAACCTCTTTTACTATTGAGTTTAATTCTCTAAGGGAGAAGATGGAGATAAACACTACCAGATAAATGTAATGATATGTGTGAAGACTTTCAAAGGCCATAACAAAAATTTAGTTATTACTTAAGATTGTTGAGCCTGACAGCTGAAGTGCAATGCATAAACACTAGCTGAGTAGTGAGGTTCTCGCTATGTGGAAGGGGTAGTATTTTTAGTATCCAGAGTATTAAATGGGATAAACAATAGGAGAACACTAAAGGAAGCATACCTGAAATCTCATCTGTTTCCTACTTCTGTCTCCATGAAAGCACAACTGTGAGGCCAGGAGTTGTGGTCTGAGACAGCGGCCTGGATTTAGAGTCACGTATTGCTCAGTTGGGTGCCAAAATTATTAAATGATTATTAATCATGAAAGTTATTTTTGTTTTAATATTATCAGAAATTAGTTGACCTCACCTTTTATGTTGTAAATAGTAAGATGACACAGAGAATCAAAGTTTTAGGACATTTAGTCTAGCAAAAATCCAAATACACATCAGCGGGTGAGTCACAACAGTGTTACTTGTTTTTGCCAAAGCTCTGCAGAAAAGAACAGAAAATTCCCTAGATTTAGAAAGCAAGAATAAGCAAAGGAGGCTGCAAAACAGCACAGTCTGATGGGGAGGTAACTTCTCTATGAAGTATGGAACATAGGATTCTGATTCTGGTATAGCAAAATAATCTCTCCCACAGAGGTAGTGTCCTGTTCTCAATTTTCTGGTTTTGCTCATAAACTACTTTTTTTCTTTGTACTAGGAAAGGTTAAAAAAACCTATTTGTTTTCCCTTTCACAATAGCATAGTTTTTACTAGGAGCAGTGGAAATTTCTGTGTCTTAACCATTTTTATGGCTAACACATTAACTTGAAATGCGAGTTGTACCAACCCATCTTTATAG